ATTGGGGTACCCCTTTAATTAGGGGGGCACCCAGATGCCCCCCTCTTGTGAATGAGTAAGGGGTTCTTGTACCCCTACCCATTCAGTCAGGGTTAAATAAAAGTGTTATTAAAAAGTCCAGACTTTTGATAAAATCCTTTAATTGAAAAAAAAAACAGAGACAATTTTTGACTATTCCTTTAATTAAATTTTTTTTTTTTTAAATGGCTCCATCGATGTACGTTCGGGTCTGTGCGCATTCGGAAGTTCCCAAATACTATGTAGTATTTTACAGCCAAGAATGGCAAATGGGCGGAGCGAGGCGTGACGTCACGGCTCGTTCCACCCATCTGTTTACTTTCGGGCTGAATGTAATTTTGCGGCGAGTTTTAACTAAATTTCATCCAAATTTCGATTTGGAACTAAACAATTTGCACGTCTATGAAGCAGGACCTTTTGTAAAGGGACTACTTGCACACCTGGCATGTAAGGATGCAAAACCCCTCCATGGCTCTGAACTTCACCTCAACAACTCTCCTTGGTAACTATTGTGTGTTCTAGAAGGATTGTGCCATCATGAATGTGGATGACTGAAGCATGCACTGAAAAGGCTCTATGTGTGAGACTGATCCTTCTCCTAACCTCGAGATGGGGGTTTCTCCTAGGAACAAGCTTGGGTAGCTGGACTGTTGCGATAACACCTGAGGAGTGCAAGTGTGGAAGATCACTGCCATGGGATTGTAGACCCCACAGCACCCACAAACCAATAAATACATTGAACTATAATGAAATAAACAAAGACTATACAACAATATTAGTGGAAAAATGTGCCCTTTATTGGGGTTAAAAGCAAAATATTTTATTTTTATATAATTCAACAACACTCTTTAACCACTTCAAGACCAGGTGTTTAGACCCCCTTCCTGGCCAGGCCATTTTTCAGTATTCAGCGCTGCGATACTTTGACTGACGTTTATTCCGTCATGCAACGCTGTACTGAAATGAATTTTATACCATTTTTGGGGGACAGATAGAGCTTTCTTTTGGTGGTATTTAATCACCACTACGGGTTTTATTTTTTATTATAATTAGGAAAAATTATTGAAAATTTTGAAAAAAAAACGTTTTTTGTAACATTATGTTAGGAAACATTTATTATTACCCAGTTTTTTGGTCAAATATAAAAGATCAGGTCACGTCGGTTAAATAGACACCAAACATGTCAAGCTTTAAAATTGCGCGCACCCGCGACATCGCAGAAAACGACGGCAACCAAAATTGGCCATAGGCGACACTTTAAACGTTTTTACCGCTCATCAGTTTAGTGTTATCAGTGATTGATGGACCTAAACTTATTGCTCTCACTGCGACGATATGTAACATGTGCGGTGTAATGGGCGCAATCGTCTTTTTTGCACGTATGGGTGGGGACTTTTTAAAAAAAAAAAATTCTTTAATTATTTTTTATGTGTAACTTAAAAAAATTTTTTGGGGGGGGGACTTAAGGAGGTAGTTAAACTTTAACCATAAACACATATATACATAAACGTTTAAACCACTTAAAAATATTCAAACATAAAAGTCAAACATAAATGAGCTCAGTCACCCAGACTCGAGCTATACTCATAACACCAGTCCAATATACCAATAAACACAGTCCACCCACATATGTGGGTGACAATACCCCCAAAAAAGGATAGCCGCGACAAGGGAGGGAGAAGAGCTTCTGACTGAAAATATTGAAAGGTGAGTCCAACAGCTGATTGGTTGTTTACTTTTTCCGCCAAAACTAGGCTACTGATCACGTCGATATTAGTCCTGAGATTATCCTAGTGACAGCAATCTCCAGGTGGAACTGAAGTGACAGCTAGTAAGGGCAACCTGAAATAGATAAAATGGGGAAACCTGGAACAGCCCACAGAAAGATCTAGAAATGCTGTACATTAACTATGACTAAATTACTGTTGCATTAAAATGACTAAATTAAGTGGGTGCAGGGGCGGACACAATCCCATGAGGCCACTTCATTATATTTGTGGCCCCAACAATACTGCTTAGTCCAGGCCGGGTGTCTCTCAAAGGTGAGCTCTGCCACTAAGGCACGACGTCCAATGATTCCACCCGAGGTGCTGAGTATCTTAAGAGCCCCGCGTTCAAAGTATCCCAAGGGGGACAGAGCCACAATAGGGGTGGCCAGGCAATGGAGAATTCGTTGACAGATGTCTGCCATTAGAATTTGAATAGACAGGTTAGGCCTGCAGATGGGAAGATCTCACACCTTCTAGGGTCTTAGGCAGAGATAATTGAGCCCGTTCTACACCCATGTCCCAATAAATTATGAATATTGTATTCGTCTGGGAGAGTGTATCTAAGGACACAACGTTCACAAATTTCTGGCGTTCTCCAGCCAGCAGGATAAACAAACACAGCCAAGTGGTAAAGTTTTTTCTGGTTTTTCTCCTATTTTATTTTGTAGCCAATAACCATAGTTTTTGTATGTCATTGTCTTCCTTTTTGCTTTTGTACATTTTTCTAGTACACTGCCAACCTAGGAATATTAAGCTTTAAAATTAATAAGTGGCCTTCTGTGTACTAAACTAAGTATTCATACTCCTAGAGAGATTGGTCATTGTTAGAGATGCCCCAAAATTTCGGCCACCAAAACATTTTGGCCGAAAATGGCACTTTTGTCAAAATGCAGAAAGTGCCATGAAGGCCGAAGCTGCGGATGAAAATTCAGTGCATCCCAGCTTCTCTCCTCCCCGCCGCTCTGCTCACCTTTCCGATGCATTGGCTGGCACCCAGCGGGGAGGAGAGAAGGTTACAGCATGACGAGCGGTGGGGGAGGATCGTGCTGCCAGCGTTGCAGGAGCTGGGTTCACCTCCCGGCTCGGCCTCCTGTATCAGGATAGAGAGTGGTGCGATCATTACAGGAGGCCGAGCTCTCCTCCCACACCTCCCGGCTGGGCCCCTTGTGACAGCTGATTCAGGATGGAGAGCGGAGCACAAACATTCAGCGATCAGCTGATCGCTGAAAGTTTGTAAATAACTGGATATAGTATGAGTTACTATGTACCAGTTATGAATGAATGGGAAGTGACCTACATCACTGCCTGTTCATTCATAATTATGTACATAGTAACTCATACTATATCCACAATGTATGAATGAACAGGAACACTAAGGGGTCTATTCACAAAAGGGTGAAGAGTTTGGAGAAGGCAGGAGAAGAGAACTAGGGATGGTCCGCAGGTTCGATTTGAACGCGAGTCTGGTATGGAATTTTAGGGGGTACCCCATGTTTCCCCCCCCATTTTGGGGGGGTGGTGGGGTTCCTCCTTAAAATTCCTACCAGACCTTAAGGGACTGGTATGACTTTGAGGGGGAACCCTACACTTTAAAAAAAAAAAAATTGGTCCCTCCTAACATTTCTACTAGACCTAAAGGGTCTGGTATTGTTTGGGAGGGGGAACTGCACACTTTAAGAGTTAAAAAAAAAATCATATATTTTTTAGAAAAGTCAGTTTTGCTGCAGCAGGTTCTATACTGTACATCCTACAGATCCGCCACTTCACAGGCAGGGTAAGGGGACCCCCCAGGCATGATATTTGAAGGAATTTTTCATTTTTATTCTTACACCTTAAGTGATATTAAAATCACTGCTCCTTTAAAAACGTTTTTGGTTTTTTTCTCCCCTTGATTCCTGTCCCCCAGGGCAGTGCCCGGACCCCCAAACACCTTTTATGGACAATAACTGGCATATAAGCCCTCTTAAAGGGGACAATCATTTTCAAAAGTTCGACCTCCATTGACTTGCATTAGGTTCGAGTTCGTATTCAAACTTTTCGGCCGTTCGGGTGTTCGAATACGAACACGCAGTTGTTCAGCCCATCACTGAAGAGAACACTCTAGGGCAACATAGCTGATTTGGAAAAATTCTCCAATTCAGCTCACTTTCCAGTTCAGCTAACGGAGACACAGACAGCAATAAAAACCTGATAGTGGGAGAGCCCCACTGTAAGGTTATTTTTAAGGGTTCACCTTAAAACACTTAATTCCCCCTTAATTTTATTTCTCAGCCCCCTCTTACCTTGTCTGCTGGCTTGTCCTCATACTCACACGCCCAACAAACCCAGCATTGTCTGGTGTAACCTGCCAGCGTCAGCGTCCCTTCCTGTGTGATGTCACTGAGAGCTAGCTGCCCCGATGATGTGCCGCTGGGCATGCGCAATGTGTGGTAGATGACACCCGAAGCCTCCTGGAATGCATGACATTAGTATCTCAGGGGACTTCCCCCACTTACCTGAAAGGTGTCGTTCTTCTCCCCACAGGCTAGTGTTTTATTCATTTGGTATGGCTGCTCACACAGCCCTATCACCCATTCACAAGTCCTTTCACAGGTGCAGTGACATCACCGCACTTGTAGTCCATTCATTCTTCCTTATTCATGCTTTCTGGAGAAAGGATCTGCAGGAGCCAGAGCATTGCACCGGCGATCCACTGATCCAGGTTGCAATGCTTTACTGGCTCTGATGCAACAACAACAAAAATACACTTCTATTATCTATCCCTTCAGGAAAAAAGAATCTGCAGGAGCCAGAGCATTGCTCTGGTGGTCCACTGATTAAGGTTGCAATATTTACTTGCTCCAATGCAAAAAAATGCACATTATTATTATTGTATTCTTTATTTATTAATGTACTATTTTTTTCTAAAAGGTGGACTTTACGTAACATTATTACATGACATGAATTTACTAAACTGAAAAACAAAAATGTGCTGGCAGTGTTAAAATCAGTTCGAATCCTGAATATCAGGGAGTGTCTTAGAAATAAGTCCCCCAGCCATCACATGATCAGCCCTGCTACTACAATGACAGTAATAGATTACACAATGATTCCCATGCTCCATCCACTATGGACGGGCTGACCTGATCGCAGCATTACCCCACCGGCAGATCCCGGCACAGGCAGTGCGGGTGTAACGTCACAGAGGCAGCGGAGAGCGCCGCCCAGCGGCCGCACAGGTAACAGCAGCAGGCTGTCAATCACACAGCCCAGCAGCAGCAGCAGCAGCTAGCGCCCGGGGAGGACAGACCTTGTCTAGGTGAGTGATGGCGGCCGGAATTCCCCCATGTCAGTGACCCTGATATATATCACCATCATCAGCATCATCAAACCCCGGCTCCTCCTCCCCCCTCACCCCCGTGATAACGGCCACACGGCTCCTTGCTGTCTCTTATTTCACATTAGCTGGTAAGTACAACGCGTGATGAGATGCAAGCAGTGACTCAGGTGGGCTTTGCCTGTCCGTTATGATGTATTATTGCTCCTGATTGCTGGCAGTGTCATTGATCGTGCGTTGTTATCAGTGCAGGCATGTAGTGAGTGACAGCGCCGGTGCTGATGTGATGTGTGCATGTGTCGGTGTATAGATGAGGCCGCCTCTGCTCCGTGCCTGGCATGGATGGCCATGGAGCTCCTACAACTTCACAATCACAATACATCTCATCTGATTTTATTTCCTATTCCAGGCATTATATTCTTCCAGAGCAAACCTCCATTTTAGAATGTTGCTTCTCTGCTTGTCCTGTTTGATACATTCTCAGGATTTCTGACAGTGTGGTTCATAGGCCAACCTTTGATACATGAATCCAGACAAAGATCCGGTATTTGTCAGCCAAGGTGTGTGATTGTATGGGGCTCTGGGCTTTTCTTTGTATTTCTGGATAATTATATACACAGACATATATTACAGATGAAGAACAAAGTGCTCCATCAAGTCTGCCCCTTTTTCTGTTTTGTCTTTTTTTAACATTTTTTTGTCTAGTATAAATTATTTTGCATGAGTATAGATCTATGATCGTCCCAAGCATGTTTACAGTGACAGTAAACTCAGGAGTTAAATCTTAAAAATACATTCAAATCCCTTAACTATTAATAAAAACTGTATCTTATTTGTGTATCACTCGGCTGTAGATCCTCAAATCATCTCTGAATTGGTGCTGACACTGTCCTTCCTTCTGGAGGGTGACTACTTTTGTTCCCCATGGTCCCTGTGTGTGTTGTAAAGTAGTCACCACTCCAAGGTCTCTCCTGTAATGGACTGCAATCTCATTACAAAGTAGCAAACTAAACGTGAGATTGTAGTCCATCACGGGAGCGAGTTTGGAGCGGTGACTACTTTACAATGGGACATCTAGGTGAGAATCTTGGGACTGTTGGGAGCAAGGACTGACTGGCAACTTTTGGCCCAGGGGGCAAGTACAACCCAGAGGCCCATGGTGCAGTGACTCGGCCCCCCTTTGGCAGCTTAGTGAATAACCCCCTCAGTGATAAAGGAATACTCTGTATGTCATGAGAGGGTAAAACTAAAAAATAACTATTTAGGGGGCAAAACAAATCTGCAGCTTAACTGCAGATAATCATCATAAGGGGTTAATTTTATAGTGATCTACTTAATTTGATGTTGTTTTTTACATCTTAACATATCTCCCGGTCAGTGTTGACATAGCTCCGGCTGATCCTTCGGCTAGCTTCAGCCGCCTGAGGTCTTCGGTTCAGTAGAACAGAAGGGCTGCTGTACGGGCTATTTACTATAGCCCGTACAGCTCCCGAAGCTGGCCGAGTGGCTCAGTTGAGCCGAACGCATATGCTTCGGCTCGACTGAGCCGAAGTGAAACCTGAAGCGGGCCGTACGGCCGACCATTGGCTGTCCGAGAGCCTCACAACTGACAGCTGGGCGGAGCTAGCCGCCATCTCACGGCCAGTTGCAATGACACACAATGACAGTTCAGCGTCGAGCTGAGCTGAACTGTCATTACACAATGAGAACTCTGCGGAGCCAGCCCCTATGTTATGGCCGGCTCCGCTAAGTTCTCATTGTGTAATGACAGTTCAGTGTCCCCTGGTTACCAGGTAACTAGGCGACGCTGAGCGGTCATTGCGGAGCCGGCTCTTTCGCTCCCTCAGGGAATAGTTGTTGTTGGCTCCAGCATGACAGCAGCAGCGGCTCTTTTTTTCACTTCCTCCTGCTCCTCAGATCTGCTGTGCGGCTGCCTGTGAGTGTGGGCTCCTGACGAGAATGGCATACCCATATCAGCAGCAATCTGTATACACAATCTCAGGATACACAATCTCAGTATGTAATGACAGTTCAGTATCCCCTGGTTACCAAGTAACCAGGGGACGCTAAACTGTCATTAAAATGAAAACTCGGCGGAGCTGGCCGTCAGGAGCCCACACTCACAGGCAGCCACACAGCAGATCTGAGGAGCCGGAGGAAGTTGGAGAGGAGCCGCTGCTGCTGTCAAGATGGAGCCGACAACAACTATTCCCCGAGGGAGCGAAAGAGCCGACTCCGCAGAGTTCTCATTGTAATGACAGTTCGGCATCCACTGGTTACCTAGTTGTTATTCATTTCCCGGCCAATAGGAAACAGTTGGGTGGAGCTAGCTGTCACTGCTTGCTTCGCCCAAACGTTTTCTACTTTTTTTCACTTTTTCTATTCTGCTCAATACCACGGAGGTACCGTGCAGAATAGCCAAGCCGAATGCCGCTAGGCAGCATGCGGCTAGTCACTCACTGCTGTTCAGCCCCTATGAGAATAGGCCAAACAGCAGCCAGTAGCCTGCCGGAGTCGAACTCCTTCTGCACTTCGGGTCGGCCAAACATGCAGAGCAAGTTCGCCTGACCCAAAGCCAGCCAAAGCAAGCTGATGTACGACTGATTTCAGCCGTACAAGCCTGAAGCGAATAGCCAAACAGCGTTCGGCTCAATTCACTTCGGCTCGATTATCCACACGGCTGCCTTCGGCAGCTTTGTGAATATCCCTGACAGTACAGAGGTCAGTATGTAATGCAGTGCAGAGGTCAGGGTGTCACGCAGAGTGCAGAGGTCAGGGTGTCACGCAGAGTGCAGAGATCAGGCTGTGACGCAGAGTACAGACGTCAGGCTGTGATGCAGAGTACAGAGGTCAGGCTGTGTGATGCACAGTGCAGTAGTCAGGGTGTGTGACGCAGAGTGCAGAGGTCAGGGTGTGGCGCAGAGTGCAGAGGTCAGGGTGTGACACAGAGGTCAGGGTGTGACGCAGAGTGCAGGGGTCAGGGTGTGACGCAGAGTGCAGAGGTCAGGGTGTGGCGCAGAGTGCAGACCCCCGGCCCAGTCACTCAACATCGAGCCGGCCAAGTCTTCTTCCTGCTGGGGTGTGAAGCATAGTTCAGAGGTCAGGGTGTGACGCAGAGTGCATAGGTCAGGGTGTGACGCAGAACTCAGTATGTAAGGAAGCGCAGAGGTCACACAGAAAGAACAGGTACTTACTGTGACTCCTTTTATTACTTCATTCAGGTGCTGTGCCCTCTTCTTCTCTTTCTCTCCTGGTAGTGGGGGGGGGGGGGGAACAGCCTGCCAATGGTAGGTGGGCAGTCTCCCTCCCAGGCTATAGCAACAGAAGTGGGCGGAGGGAGCTGCTGTAGACGCGAGGAGCTCGATCAGTGACACAGGCATTCGGGAAGGCAGCCGAACAGCATGTTCTCCTCGGCCGCTGAAGTAGCAGAGCTGCCGAGAGGTGACAAGAGTGTTTGCGCCGACGGGGGCCATTAATAGAGGCAACAGAGAGGCCCGGGGGGCAATTGCCACTCTGCCCCCCGGCCCAGTCCGCCCCTGGTTGGGAGGGGTTCCATAGAAAAAAATTAATGTCCAGTTATGATGGAGGAGAGGGGTAGGATTGCAATCAGGTACAGTGGATGGGGAGGGTTTAATGTATTTAAAGACTTCAGTCGTGTTCCCCCTTTCCATTCTTTTCTCAAGACTAGGGATGCACCGATACAGAGTATTTGGGCGAGAACTCGGATTCGCCCAAATGCTCTGATACTTACCCCCAATACCAGAACTTCCAGGCAGAGGAAGATTTTCTCTGACCGGCAGTGCCGCAAGAGAACATGGAGGCCGCTTCCTGGTCAATCAGGAAGTTGGGCGGTGGGTAATGACTCGCCGCCCAACTTCGTGATTGGCTGAGAAGCTAGCTCCATGCTGATTGGCTGGGAAGCCAGCTTCCTGGCCAATCAACATCGAGCCGGCCAAACAGCATGTAGCTGCATTCCCAGGCAATCAAGAAGCCTGATTGCCCGGGAAGCCGGCTTTTTGAAAGATAAATATCGGTACTCGTACTTGATACCAAGAAAAAACGGTATCAGCCTACTCAAAGCTGTACATATTAGCTTCCTATTGTGTCTATTATTTGTTCTTTCCCTCAGACCTTTCACCATTTTTCTCCTGTCTCTGGGCTTGTTCTATTTTATCAATATATTTTTGTATGTGAGGTCTGCAAAACTGGACAAGGTATTTTAAATCAAGTCTAACTAAGGACCTATATAGGGGAATCAAGACCTCATTCCTCCTGCTGGTGATCCCTGTAAGTAATAACTAAAGATCTATATAGGGGAATCAGGACCTTCTTCTTCCTGCTGGTGATCCATCTAGTGATTACTAGAGATCCATACAGGGGAATCAGGACCTTCTTCTTCCTGCTGGTGATCCATCTAGTGATTACTAGAGATCCATACAGGGGAATCAGGACCTTCTTCTTCCTGCTGGTGATCCATCTAGTGATTACTAGAGATCCATACAGGGGAATCAGGACCTTCTTCTTCCTGCTGGTGATCCATCTAGTGATTACTAGAGATCCATACAGGGGAATCAGGACCTCCTTCCTCCTGCTGGAGATCCCCATAAGTAATACCTAAAAATCTATATAGGGGAATCAGGACCAGCTGTGGATGCACGCTGTCAGTACAAATATTGACGAGTTGTTGCACCTTTAGTAGCCACCGTTTCCATAAGGCAAGCATGCCTACCGGTACCTGGATGCCCCCAGGACTTAAACTATATGCTCTGATCAGGTGATGCCATAGGCTGGCCCCCAGGAACAAGGAGAAGTACTGACTGATGTCAAGGTACAAGACAAACAGAAAGCAAGACTCAAGAATAGGTTACAAATACAAGACAGGAACTAATACAAGATAAGTACAGGATACAAGAAACAAGACAGGTACAGGATTAAAGATCCAAGGCAAAACTAGGATTCATGATCAAAGCAGGACTTTGGAT